GGCCATATATGTTCTTGAAAAAGAAATCTTATACAAGAAAAGTCATGATCAAGTCTTGTTAAGATGCATAGATGCATAAGAAGCAAAGATGATATTGGAGGAAGTACATGATGGAGTTTGTGGAACTCATACAAACGGACATATGATGGCAAGACAAGTTATGAGATGTGGATACTTCTGGTCTACATTGGAGAGTGATTGCATCAACTATGCTAGAAGATGTCATAAGTGCCAAATCTATGGGGATAAAATAAATGTTCTGTCTCACTCTCTTCACGTGATAACGGCACCGTGGCCCTTTTATATGTGGGGCATAGATGTCATTGGACAAATCTATCCAAAAGCTTCAAATGGTCATCGGTTCATTCTCGTAGCAATTGACTATTTTACCAAATGGGTGGAAGCTGCATCTTATGTCAGTGTCACTCATTCCACTATTTGCAAGTTCTTGAAAAAGGAGATCATATGTCGATATGGTTTGCTAGAAAGAATCATTACTGATAATGCAACAAATTTGAACAACATGATGGATGTTACATTGGAACAATTAAATATAAAACATCACAACTCTACTGCTTACCGACCAAAGATGAATGGAGCGGTAGAAGCAGCAAACAAAAATATCAAGAAAATACTGGAGAAAACGACTAAGACATAAAAGGATTGGCACGAGAAGTTACATTTTGTTTTTTTTGCTTATCGAACTTCAGTGCGAACTTCGACTATGGGAACCCATTTTCATTAGCATATGGGATAGAGGTAGTATTTCCCATTAAGGTGGAGATCTCGTCACTCTGGGTTTTGTCAGAAGTTAAAATGGATGATGCAGAATGGGTGCAAGCTCGATATGATCAATTAAACCTAATAGAAGAAAAGAGGTTGAAATCCATTCACCATGGTCAACTTTACCAAAGACGAATGATCCGAGCACACAACAAGAAGGTGCGCCCAAGAGTATTCCGTGAAAGAGATCTTGTACTGAAAAAGGTCTGACCAATCTAAAAGGACTTCAGAGGAAAGTAGATACCAAATTGGTAAGCACCTTATGTCTTGAAAAAGTCCTTCTCCGGAGGAGCACTGATCTTGACTGAAATGGACGGGTCTGAACTACCTAATCTCATTAATTCTAACGAAGTCAAGAATTATTTTGCTTAGAGTGAAAACCCTAAAGGGTGCCCTAAGTTGAATTTCATTTTTTTAAAAAAAAAGAGAAAAAAGTTTAGAGTGAAAACACGAAAGGGAGATCTAAATTTGAAAAAACAAAAAACAAAATAAGGTGGCTCCAAGATGAAAACCACAAAGGGAATCTTGAAACCAATGAAGGAACTAAGTTGAAAACCCGAAAAGGGCAGCTTGGATAACGGTCCAGGATTCACGCATAGGAAGGTCTCTGATCAAGGCAATAAAACATCGCGGCATCCAAGTCTATAGGAAACTTAGTAACTTGGAAGGAACTATGCGCTCTTCCAAACATTGTTGCATATTTAAAGTCCCCTTGACAAAAGCTGCACTCAAAAGTCACTTAACGGTGCATCAATTCAAAAGCGTCTGCATTATCAAGATCTGGGGCATATATTTGTGTTCATGTATATCTTGACTTTTCAGAATGTTTGCCATGTATTCATTTTCATCCTCACAAATAAATATTGTCTTTTCTCGAAATGAAAATCAATTCCTTTCAAGCATCTCCCATTGAATTTAAATAAGGATAATTTATTCACTTTTAGGAAAGATAATTGCGTATTATTGTACAAAGTTTTTTTGAAAGGTACAGGTGTTCGGAAGCCGTCAAAGGTTTTTTGCACCATACTCGAGATAATGGGTTTTAGTTAATTGAAAGACATTGTTTAAATCAAGACTAGAAGTAAACCTTTTTTGTAAGTTCACAGAATGTATATTGGATCAAAGTCTGTTGAAGAATCCAAGAAAATAAATCAGAAATTCAAGATTCCAGAATCAAGAGTCATCCGAAATGACCTCAAGATATTGAGATTTCTCTCTAAACCCTAAAATAACATATTGCATATGCATTTTAGGCATACATAGGAACATTACATCCATAGCATCGCATATATGCGTAATTTTACAGATTTTTGTCAGAGTCAATTTCAAGAATATTGAATTCAAAGGAAGCCCAAAATTAAAAAACAATGCAGCCTATCCAAGTTAGATTTCAACTTCCCAAGGAATGATATCTGGCCCAAGGCAAATTTATTTAATATGGACTCAACTTCACGTGGAATGAGTCACCCTCGATTTCAACTTTACGACGAATGATATCATGCCCAATAGATCGACTTAACTTCACAACAACTAAGTCGTCTGCAACAACAAGAAACTATCTCTCAACTTAATTTACAGCATAGCTCAAGACGAAAAGGGCTATCTTTCAACGAAAACTTTCTAGTTTTATTTCATTCAGCTCGAGGACACATCAACCGCATGGTAATAGTAAAGAACTACTTTCCGGTCGAATTTTCAAACCGAGGTCTTTCAGCCAAGAAGAAGACCAAGGTTGACTACGATTTAGAAACAAGAAGTCATTTTCTAGTTCAGATTTCGAACTAGATTTCAACTTCACAGCGAATGATATCATGCTCGAAGCATCCAAGATCGAGTCAACTTCATGACGAATGAGTCACACGCAATTCAGCTCAACAGCAGGTAGCCATGATTTATTAAATTTTTCAAGTCAAATTTCAACTCCGTGATGGAAGATATCCAATAAGTTGGAAAATGATCTCAGACTCCAGGGGTAAATTCGCTTTTGTTCGGAGCTTTTTTTCATATAGCATAATATACATAATAATCTCAAACATAGTTTTTAAAGTATATAATATATAATTTTTGGAAATTTATTTTTGAAAACATATAATATATAGTTTTCAAAAAAATAATTTTGAAAACATATAATATATGTTTTTGAAAAACGTATAATATATGTTTTTGAAAACATTTTTTGAAAACGTATAATATATGTTTTTGAAAACATATAATATATAGTTTTTAAATTTTTTTTTTGAAAAATATACATATATAATATAGTTTTGAAAACATGTACATAGTTTTTTGGAAGAATATATAATATATAATTTTTGAAAACATATTATTTTTGAAAATATAATATATTATATAATTTTTTTCCTTTCGAAATATATATATATATATATATATATTAAGCTTATTATTATTTTATATATTATTATTATTATTTCCTCATATACGAAACCTTGTCCCACAATCCAGCATCCGCATAAATGTTTGATAGAAGAATATAAGCAGAGGAATCTTGAGGGTCCAATCGCAAAAGAGAATCCACTACTTTCTCTACCACCTCTACATTCCCATGGATCTTGCAAATGTTAAGCAGAGTTCTTCATATAACATCATCTGGTTCAAAAGGCATATCATTTATGAGTCTCAATGCCTCAGTAATTTGTCCTGCCCTTCCCATCATATCCACCATACACGAATAGTGCTCCAACTGAGGTGCTAAACCATAGTCACTTGACATCAAGGCAAAATAATGCAATCCCTTTTCTACCAGCCCCAGTATGTGCACATGCTCGAAGGACTGAAATAAATGTTGCGTGCTTTGGTGTCACATTCTCGATAATCATATCCTCAAAAATTTGAAGAGCCTCTTCTCCGAGGCCATGTTGGGAATACCCACAAATCATGGCATTCCATGTTACAAAATCCCGATTAGTTGCTTTCCCAAATATGAGCTTGGAATCGTACATGTTTCCATATTTTGAGTACATATCCACAAGGGTGCTGCATATGTATACATCCGATTGCAGTTCAAGTTTGATGATTTGAGCATGAATTTGCTTACCAAGTCCAATAGTGACCAAATTAGCACATGTATCAAGAACTGTTGCATAAGTGAAGTGATCAGGCTTTACTCCCATTTCCATCATTCGGGGAAAAAAAATTCTGAGCTTCTTTTCTTCATGCTATTTCCTATGTATTACTTCAGATTTTAAGGACAGGTTTTCTCTATTGTTGTCAAGCCCAAGCTTGAATTTTTCCAGGAAGTTCACATCAGATTGAAAATCTTCTCTCGTCTTTAGGATCAGAAGCAAGCTGAAACGAGGAACCATTACGATCAAAGTTGGATCTTTTAGTTTCACGAAAAGAAGAATTGGAAGGCCTTTGACCCCTTAAGGGCCTACCGGGGATTGAGTAGGGGTTCAATTTTCGATTTTAACCGAATTAACTGATTGAACTTAATTAGTTCGATTAACTCGGTCAATCAAATGAGTTCAGTCGGAGAACGGTTAATAAATTTTTTAGAATTCAGTTAACGGTTCAAGGTTCAGGGTGAGGGTTTAAATTGAGAGAAGTTAGGTTTTTGAGCCCAAGGATAGGAATGGCAGAACGACCCGAACTCGACGGGAAACCCGAAACCTGGCTAAGTTCAGGTCGGGTCGAGTTTGAATAATATCGGGTTGGGTCGGGTATCGGGGTAAAATTCAGAGATATTTTCGGGTTCAAGTTCGGGCAAGGTATTCCCGCCCCGCCCTCCAGTTCTCACTTTCCCCTTTGTATTTGCTATTCTTACGCAACCGCAGGCAAGTAAGCTTCACTGCTTCAGTCTTCGATTCTTCGTTGTATGATTTGAATATCGGAACAAGTTTATATTTAATTATGTATGTGTTTTATTTTAGAGTTTAGACAATTATTTAGAATTGAGTTTGAATTTGTGACTGTAATTTGAATTGTAAATCATGTAGTCTAATTTTCCAGTTTTTTGTGATCGTTGTTTTTTATTTTTTATGAAAATTACGACTTCTCGGTTTTTCTCGGGTTCGAGTTCAGGTACAATATTTCGGGTCCGGTTCGGGGACGTGACAAAAAAAATTCCCGACGGAACGCCCCGTTAAAAAACCCGACGGGAAAAGGGGCAGGGACGGAGACGGGAGAGTAAAACCCGCCCCGTTGCCATTCCTACCCAAGGAAGAGAAGAAGGGAAAAGTTTCTAACTTTAGGGGCAAAATAGAACTTTTACGTACAAACATGAAGGGTAATACCGGTAACAAAAGTGAGCAAATCCTAGTTTTTATTTCAGCGGTAAACCCAGACCCCAGTAGCAAAGAGACACTGGTTATTAGATAAGGCTTCACAATACGCATAGTCGGAGCTCGAAGCTCCTTTTCATCCCAGTAGCATATGCAGCTTTAATGCCCCCTTCAACCTAACCACTTACAGAGAGCACTTGGGTTTTGCCTTTGGTTTTCTTATTTCAGCTTCAGTAGGTAAAGGTAATGTTGCATCTTTCAACCTATTTCACCTGTTAATAAACACCAATAGAATTGGGAACCCAGAGTAAAATTGTCTTTGTTTCTTTCATTTTTTTAATATTTTGTTTGGGAGACTCTTGTGATTTTGCTTTGTTGCTTGGTGCTAATCATCATTATTCTTCTTGGTCTTCCATTGGTTAAGTTTTATCATTATTTGTTTGTTTGTTTGTTACAGCCCCTGAATCCATCTTCTGTGACTTTTATTCGGCAGTGATTACTTTTAAGAGTCTTCCTTCAAGAAGCTCCATTTACCCATTGTTTGCTTCTTAACTATGGCGCCATTGCAACATAATTTACTTGGGAGTCTTCAAGTTCTATTATCAATGTGAATTTGTGACTGTTTCAAGATACTAATGCTCTGCATTATGCCTTTGTTGCAGACATGGAGGTTGCTAGCGTTCAAAATGGTGGTAGCATCATGTGGTTCTTCAGAGACAAAGGTTTTGATGATAAAAGTATCAACAAAATGTTCAAAAAGTGTAAGCGCCTTGAGGGTGTGCAGAAGGAAAGAGCCTCGGAGAACTGGTCTTACCTGAATAGCATTGGCATTCAAGAGAGAAAGCTACCTTCTATTGTTTCCAGGTGCCCCAAAATTCTTGCTCTTGGTCTAAATGAGAAGATTGTCCCCATGGTAGAGTGCCTTGCTACTCTTGGAACTAAACGCTGTGAAGTCGCTTCTGTCATCGCTAGATTCCCTCAGATAGTCTCGCACAGTGTTGAAGAGAAGCTTTGCCCACTCTTGGCTTTCTTCCAAGCATTGGGAGTCCCCGAAAAGCAACTACGCAAAATGATATTGCTGAATCCTAGGCTCATCAGCTATAGCATTGAATCTAAACTCACAGAAATAGTTAACTTCCTTGCCACCCTTGGCCTTACCAGAGATGGGATGATAGGTAAAGTTCTGGCTAAATACCCGTTTATAATGGGTTATAGTGTCGACAAAAGGCTACGTCCTACATCCGAGTTTTTGAAATCAATCGGTCTGTCGGAGACAGATCTTCAAAGAGTGACCATGAACTTCCCTGAAGTCTTGTCTAGAGATGTTAGCAAGGTTCTAAGACCCAGTTTTGCGTATCTCCAAAGAAGTGGGTTTGGGGATAGACAGATAGCAGCTATGGTGACTGGCTATCCCCTGATTCTTATCAAGAGCATAAAAAATTCTTTAGCACCTAGGATTAGGTTCTTGGTTGATGTGATGGGGAGGCAAACCGATGAAGTAGCTAATTACCCTGACTTCTTCCAGCACGGTTTGAAGAAGAGAATAGAGTTGCGGCACCTGCTTTTGAAAGAAAAGGGTGTCAATTGTAGCTTAAGGGAAATGCTAGACTGCAATCAGAAGAAGTTTCTATTAAAATTTGGTTTGTTTAAAGGGCATGCCTAAGGTACCATAAGCCATTAGCCACATTCCCATTCTCTTTGATGATCATTCTTCGTATTGTAGCTTAATTGTCACGTTAGTACATGTGTTTTTGTCAATGAGAAATTAAGATAAGCTAAATTTCTGCCATTATCATTGAGTTCTGAACATCAAGTCTTTGCTAAGTTTATGCAATGCAGTAGTCCATAGAGATACCATCATTTGATGCATGAGAAGGTTATCCAGAAATCTTCAGACTATTATTGACAGTGTCAACTAATCTCCACACAGTTTTACTAGAAGAAACTAATCACTAAAATTAACAAACTGTGCACCTAAATGGCTAAAACACATCAATTATACTGTACATGGCTACAAGCCAGAAGCTGATCCTAATTGCTCACAGCATTCAAAGATGAAGAAAAACCTAAGGGTCGGATTGATGACAGACTTGAAATATGAAATCAGATGGGATTAGATGGGAGAAATGTGGTTGTGGCGTCACAGACCATCTTTCATGCTGATCTTTATATTTTGCACTTTAATTGACAACTGTAGCTTATGGTCTTCGATTTCTTTTAAAACAGAAAGCAAATTTGACCGGTAAACTTCACTTTTTCGACTTGCAAACTCCAACTCATCAGTGAGTTCTCGGATTTTCTTGTCCATGTCATTCTGAAAAACAATAGCGCCCAGAGTCAATTTTTTCCTTTTTTGTTCCCTTGTATGTGCATATTCGGTGATGTTCTTTTTACAATTCTAGCATAAAGAAACTGATAGTGAGTAGAGACAGTCTGGGAAAACCAGATTGTTTACATCCTAGGAATCATTGAACAAAGTCCCTGAAGATAGCATACATCAGATTCTAAGCTACATGATGGAAAGCCAACATGGAAGGGAGTATAATCAAAATGACCATTCAGTATGAACATGTTATGCCTTGCTTAATCATGAGCAGAACACCTTAGGCAGACAAAAGATACCATGCTTTGACCTAAACTTATGACCAGATTGTCGAACAAGAACATGGAATTGGAAGGATATATAATGCAAAAACATTCTCTAAGAACCGTTAAAGCAAAAGCATGAGGAAACACAAAACAATGTGTTGGAGCTAAAAACCTAAGAAAATAGTGAACATAGCTTACAAATTCATCAAGCAGATAATTCTTTCACTTCATAGAAACATGATATATTAACAATATAATAAAGAGAAAGAAAAAAAAAGGAATAAACCTAGAGACATTCACTACCAGAAAACAAATGTATGTGCTTTAGTCTCAAATGCTGAGCCTGCTAAGGTAACTCTACAACTTATCTATTTCCACTGAAATTAGGATTTGGATGGTCCCCTTCAAGTGGATCGTGCAATCAAAAAGTTTACAAGTTTACAACACAATTTCTAGATCTACCAATATCTTCAATTACATATCATGGGACAGAAATAATCTCTTAGGTAAGGCTTACTACAATAAAAACAATTCCAAATGCATGCAGTAAACCGGGCACTGAAGAAAATGGGAAAGCAAAAATTTACATAAAAGTTTAAACAAGAATATTAAAAGCACTCATGGTCATAGATTTTCGTTCAAGATGTCATATGTAGAACAAGCAACAGGAATAACTGAATAATAGTTCTCACCTCAGATACAGGTTGCCTGTGCATTTTGTGATTAAGAGTATTTGCCCGATTACCATCATGTGAAGAGTCCCCCCTGATCTGCCCATTAACCAGTGTAGTCCTGCCATCATTCTTTGTCGCAAGTGCAACTCTTCTTGCAGCTTGTTGGAGAGCATCGATTGCCACATTGCAAGCGTCTAAAGACTTTGATCCTTCATCAACAAGCTTGAAGGCCTCATGGCGTAGGGTATTATATCGGACTGTATGAGATTCTAGATAATTAGTATATACATCGCTTGAACGTTCTTCTAATATGACACTACTCCTTGCATTTTTGGTCCATCGTTTCAAAATATAATGAAAAGGGAGAGTAAGGACATTGGTTACTCTGAAAACTGGCAATATATGTCTACAGAGAAGACCAGAGAACTCAAACATCTGGCAGCTACAAGCGGCTTTCATTTCTAAAACATTGAACTTAACATAGTAGGATTTATGATCGTCTCCGAACTTTGCCACCTGATATGTTATAGTATCATCATCATCATCTGATTTTGATGCCATAAATGTCAGAGTCCCAACTAGCTCCTCTTGAAATCTCATAAACAGTTTTCTGGTATAAAGCTCTGACGCCTGTTTCTCCATTGGAGATGGGGTCTTCAGAGCAGGGGAAGTGTTCATTGTATCATAATCCGCTTTCACTTCTTTCTCATTTCGACTCTCCAGAGCTTTCTCATAGAGCTTAAAGAACTGATTCAGATTGGTTGAAGCATTCACAAAGCCATCAAAGTACGAGTTCATGCTATCACTTCGTTGGGTTATAGACATCTCGGCAAAAAAAGTGTCCCGCAGATATACAGGGATCCAGTGTATGCGGTCATTGTAAATCATCTGAAGCCATTCATGATCCCTGAGTTCATATCGATCTACAAGAGACAACCAACAAGACTCAAACTCCTCAATCGATTCAGGCAAGTTAACACACTTATGGAAATCTGCTTCAAAAGTTGGATGCTTAAGGAATACATGGGACAACTTCTCTTGGCATTTCTTGAAGATGTGCCATTTGCAGAAACGGTGCCGAGTCTCAGGGAAAACCTGCATAATGGCTGACCGAATAACAGCATCATGATCAGTGGTGATAGACACAGGAGGGCGACCAGACATTGCCATAAGCCAAGTCTTGAACAGCCAAACAAAAGATGCTTCAGATTCATTTATTAAAAAGGCACAACCAAACAAAACTGGTTGTCCGTGGTGGTTTACTCCAGTGAAAGGTGCAAAAGGTAGTCGATACCTGTTCGACCTATAGGTAGTATCAAACATAACAGTATCCCCAAAGTAAGTATAATTCATCCTAGACTTGGGGTCAGCCCAAAACACATTACTCGTCAAAGCTTGATCCTCATCACCCTGAACAGAAAAAGAAATTTGGGTTCTCAGCTTGCATTTGCCTCAAATAATCCAAAAGTAGTTGAATATCTCCTTCTAAGCTCCTCTGCCGATTATTCCTCATATAATTCCTACAATCCACTTCTGTGAATCCAACCTTACTAATTCCACCATATTCTTTTATTAAAGCAGACATAATCCTACGAGGCCCCATCCCAGCAGCCTGCAATGTATCAATCAAAGTTTTAGCAGGCCCAGATATCTGCCTATGAGACCGAGGACAATGAACCTGGTCAGGAGGAACAAGCTCATGATTATGTTCTCTAACAAATCCAGACACAGCCCATTTCCCCGAATCCTGCACTTTAACAGACAAAGAAGCCTTACATCCCACTCTAGTAATAGTACGAGGACGCTTAATCTCCCTATCTTTTGTTCTTTTCTCATTCAAATTCCTAAACCCTTCTTTAGCACAAACAAACTGTCTCTGAATAATTGCTCCATCGCGCCTAGAACGACGAGAAGAACTTACTCGCGTACTAAAACCGACGCGGCGAGCATAAGAATTGTAAAATGCCTTGCGGCCTCTTCAGACTCAAATTCCATACCTTCATATGGCTCAAGATCCAGCGGGTCTCCTTCAGGGAGGTAAATTTCGCCGCTTCCGTTTCCGAAGCCACCTGCACTGCTATTGGAAGCAAGAAGTGAAGGAGTGGGACTGTCGGCCATGTCCTCGTCAACGTCTAACCCTATATTGGCATCATCAACGCCGTCTCGACCGCTGCTACCTCCTCCGCCTAGGCCAATGTCGAATTCAAGAACCTCCGGGTCCATATTACTGTCTTTTTTTAATTTATTTTTTACGAAAAAAGATGGGAAAAAATTAGTGCTGTGAAGGTGGAATTGAAGTGGGCAAACAAGAAGTAGGCTTTGATATGGAAGACATTAAAAAAAGAGGGGAGGGGATTTGGGAGGTGAATGATTTGCTAGGACAGATATCATTATTTATAACCATCCTAATTGATAAAAAAAAATTAGTTATAATTTTATAAATTTATATCAATTTTAAATTTTTTAAACTAAAATTTAAAATATAAAATAAAATTCCAATAATTCAAAATTTGTAGTAATTAATAGATTGATTTTCAAGTTCAAGTCGAGTTTCGCAATTATGTATGATATATGTATATCACATATGAAAAAATATATATATAAATAATTATATATCTATATCTTATACGGTTATAAAAAAATTTAAATTAAAATCAATTAGTATCATAACATTATAAATATTTACAATTAAATTTAAATATAAATTTAAGCATTTCGACTCGAACTTGACTAAAAAAAATTTGAACCGTGATTAGAAGGAGATGGTTATATATATTGAATAGTTTGGGGTGATTACAAGTCGAGATGGACCAAGGCAGAGTCGGCAGGGAGATTGCCCCTTAAAAATTTAAAATCATTGTATATTTAAAATTTTTTCCTATGTATTTTTCATTGAAATTTTGTTTTTATCCCTTAAAATTTTATAAGTTCAAGTTCACTCCTAACATAAAATTTTGTATCCGTCATGATGCTCCTTCATATCCATTCTTGCTAAAAAAATTCATCCTGATTTTAAAATCTTTTTATACCAAGAAATCTAAATTTCTTACGCATGAAGATAGTCATTTTGATCGGTATAGTCGGACTTTATTATGGAATTTTAACCACATTATGGTGTTATAGTTATAGAATAAAGAATAAAAAATTATAAATATAATATCTAATAAAATTTCAAATTTTTTATAATAAAATATTCTAAAACTAAATAATAAATATAGAAAATAAATATAATATAAAAATAATAAATATAATAATAAATATAATAATATATATAATAATATATATAAGGGTAAATTTCATGTTTACTCACTAAACTTTGCTCACTCTCTCTCTTATTTCACTTATCGTATTATCAATTTTTTTAATTTACTCGCTAAAACTTTAGACATTGAATTTTTTTGTCTCTCCATCATTAAATGTTTAACAGTATTACGACGTAAATGAATTAAAATATT